AGCATCTCAACAGTTTTTAGGTGTTTCACACTGTTGTGAAACATCTCCAGAACTCTTCCATGGTGCAAAACTGAAACTATGTACCCATTAAACAACTCCCCTTTTCCTCCTTTCTCCCCAGCCCCCCGTACCTACCATTCTACTTTTTGTGTCTATGGATTTGCCTGCTTTAGATACCTCATATACGTGAAGTCACGCAGGGTTTTTCTTTTTGTGATTGGTTTATTGGACTTGGCACGTCCTCCTGGTTTCTCCATGCAGTAGCACGTGACAGGATGTCCCTCCTTTTTCAGGCTGAATAATATTCTGTGATTTGCGCAGACTACATTGTGCTTATCCGTTCACCTGTCAGTGAGCACCTGGGTCTCTTCTACCTCTTAGCCACTGGGAACGGTATTGCTACGAGCACAGGTATGCAAATATCTTCGACACTCGGCTTTCAATTCTCTTGGAGATATACCCACAAGTGGAATCGGCGGATCGTATGGCAGTTCCATTTTTGATCTTTTGAGCAAACTCCATACTGTTTTCCACAGTGGTTGCACCATTTTACAATTTCATCAATGGTGCACAAGGGTTCTAATTTCTCCACATCCTCATCAACACTTATTTATTTACGTACTTACTTATTTACTTATTTTTTACAGTAGCCACCCCAATGGGTGTGAGGTGACAAAGAACATTTTATAATGATAAATGAATCAATCCATCAATAGGGTATAATAACAAACATACAAGTGTCCAAGAGTACATGAAGCCCCCAAATATATGAAGCAACACTGAGAAATAAAGGCAGAAATAAACAGGTCAACAGTAATAGTTCGAAACGTCAATACACACTTTCAGTAATGGATAGAAAATTAGGCAGAAGATCAGCAAGGAAACAGAAGACTTAAACAGCACTAAAAACCAACCAGCACTCCAAAACATCATGAAAACAACCCAACTACAGCAAAACATACACAAGTGCACATCTAACATTCTTCAAGATAAACCAAATTTCTTCTGCAATAAAACAAATCTCAAATCAATTAAAAAACTGAATCACAGAAGCATGTTCTCCGATCAGAAAAGAATGAAAACAGAAATAAGTAACAAAAAAGCTGTAAATCTTCTTGACCTTGGATTAGCCAATGACCTCCTAGCTACGGTACCAAAAGCATGAGCAAGAAAAGATAAAATAAATAAACTGGACTTCACCAAAATTAATAACTTTGTGCTTCAATGGACACCATCAAGATCAACTTTTTATGTAAGTCAATAATAAAAACACAACCCATTGTTTTAATGGGCAAAAGATATGACATTTCTCCAAATTACACATACAAATTGCCAATTAGCACACGCAAAGAGGCTTAATGTCACTAGCTGTCAGGGAATGTAAATCAAAACCACAACGAGATATCATTTCATACTCACTAGGAAGGTTATAACTAAAAACACAGAGAATAATAACCTTTGTTTGCAGGATGTGGGAAAACTGGAACTATTCTAAACTTCACCACCGGTGGCAAGTAAAACGTACAGCTGCTTTGGGAGACAGCCTGGCAGTTCCACAAAAAGTTGCCACATGAGCCTAACAATCCTTCCGGTAGGTATTATCCATGAGAACTGAAAACATATATCCACAGAAAAACCTGTACACAAACAATCACAGCAGCATTATGCATAAGAGCAAAAAGCAGAAACAACCCAAATGTCCATCAGCTGATGAAAAGATACACAAAATGTGGCATACCCCACACAACAGGATATTACTCAACAGTAAACAGAACTACTGACACATGCCACACTATGACACAACCTGGAAAGATGATGCCAAGTGACAGAGCCATTCACAAAAGAACACATACTGTATAATTCCATTATATGAAATATACAGAAAGGGCTAACCTAGAGTCCAAAAGGAGTCCAAAAATGTTGCCTAGGGCTGAGGGACATGGGAGGAGGTGGGCAGTGACTGCTCAATAGGCATGGGTTTCTTTCTGGGGTGATGAAAATAATCTAAAATCAAGTGTGGTCACAGGTACATAATTGAATACTAGAATACAACAAATCATTAAGTTCTATACTTAAACGGGTGAATTATAGCTCTACAAAGCTCGTACATTAAAAGAGAAAAACGACCCAAGCACAGAACCTTTTTTCTAAGTGTCCCTAGTGTAGACGTGCTGTGGGAAGAGTGGGTACGTCTTTTCCCTTCTGTAGAAATATCACCAGACATTGGGGTACCAAAGGACCTTCCTGTGATTCTCAAAGTTCTAAAGAATTAAAAAATACAATAATAACAAAACTCCCACAAATAATGTGTGTCGGGATAAGAGAGCTCAATACTGATTCTCAAGATTTACCAAAGATGAGTCAAACTCTATCTCTGACACAGATAACAAAGACTTGAAAGTGTTCTGTCGTGATCTAATTCTCACTTTTTAATTTTACGGTTTAATCCATATATCCACTTGCTAGGGGTATGTATGCACAAATGAATATATGTGGGGAAAATACACGTTTTAGAAGACAATTTATGCCACTATTTTGGTTTGAGATTGTTTTTACCATGGACAGATGAATCTTCATCAGCAAATAGATACGGTTCTATTTCTTTCAAGGAACTTCTACCTTCAAGTCGGGCAAGGAGCTTGCAAAAGAAAAAAAAGAGAAAGAAAACTCATTATCTAAAAATATAAAATCCTAGAAATCTACATTATATAATTTTCCAAAAGTCTATAAAAAAACTCACTTAATTTTGAGGATTTAAAGGAAATTATGAAATAGCAAATACAGGGGCGCCTGGGTGGCTCAGTCGGTTAAGTGGCCGACTTTGGCTCAGGTCATGATCTCACGGTCCGTGAGTTCGAGCCCTGCGTCGGGCTCTGTGCTGACAGCTCAGAGCCTGGAGCCTGTTTCGGATTCTGTGTCTCCCTCTCTCTGACCCTCCCCCCGTTCATGCTCTGTCTCTCTCTGTCTCAAAAATAAATAAACGTTAAAAAAAAAAAAAGAAAGAAAGAAAGAAATAGCAAATACAATTTAGGAGAAAAATTGTGTCATTTACTCAGAAAATAATTCATTTTTTAACTTTATTTATTTACTTATTTTGGGAAAGAGAGAGCAAGCGTGCGTGCACAAGTAAGGGGCGGGGGTGGTGTGTGCGTGCACAAGTAAGGGAGAGACGGGGGAGACAGAAAATCCCAAGGAGGCTCAGGGCTCCATCCCAGGAACCGTGAGATCATGACCTGGGCCGAAATCAAGAGCTGGACACTTAACTGACTGGGCCACCCAGGTGCTCCGAAAACACTTCATTTTTTATGTACCAAATATCGGATGGTATAAAACGAGGCCCTGTCTTCAAAGGAGCCGCCAGTGTAGTTTGGGATATAGGACCAACTGCTAACTGCCAAGTATTTACCTTTCTTACGTGTCATAATTTCCTTTCTCAGTAAACTTACCACACGCGTTAGACAGATACCAGCTTTTAATGTGTCTGCCCAAGATACTGCCAATTCCTCGTCTAGTGGAGGAGGGGGCAAAGGCGAAAGTGAGAAAAAACGCACTTGAGGAGCTCCCGCCTGAATTCATTAGGTGAACAGAGCTCGGGCAGGTACTGAGCACAAGTGCATCAGCCAGGGTGCAGAGGCGCGGAGGCGATAAGGAACACTCTGCTGGTAGGTGAACTGTACACAGATGTGGGACCGCTACAGCTTGTAGCTGGTAACATGAAACAGACAGGAGATTAATAAAGTCCTAAAGGAGCAAAAGTCAGATCACAGAAGGCCGCAGATGCCATGTTTAGGAGCCTGTTCTCTGGTTTTGAGACAAGAGCAAGGGATTTTAAGCTGTGAAGTGAGAAGCATTCTAGAATAGTTGGGACTTCAGAACCAGACCTGTTAGCCCCTTTCTCTGGGCCGGGGCCTTCTCATCAGGAAAGTGGTAACAGCTACCTCCCAGCCAAGGTTGTTGAGGAGTCAGGGTGTTACAAAAAAAAAAAAAAAAAAAAGTGCTTGGCAGAGAGGAAGCACCGTGTGGGTCCCAGCTATCATCTGCTTATCATATCATCAGATTATCCTGGTGGCTACAAGGGATGGATTTGAGAGTAAAAGCAGCTCTGGAGAAGGCTGGAGTCTGTCACACTCATCTGGAGGAGGTGTACCCACACCAAGTAGTTAGGAAGACGGCAAGCAGAACTGTGACTGGGTTAAATGCCAAAGAGGGAAATGTAATCAAAGTGGATTCTCAAGTTTCTAAGGAATCAGCACAGATTTGACAAATCTTCCATACAACAAAAGACAAAAAAGAGCTATCACAAATGGGAACAAAAGCATTCACTCTTCACCAAGCAAAGGGTTCTCTATGTTAATTTAGCAACTACTTCCTGAGTTTCTCTTACATACCGTGCACCATAGCAGGTAAGAAGATGCAGACTGCAGGGATGGAGAAGACAGCCTGACCGCAGAGACTTTGCTGTCCAACCACTCACAGGAAAAACCCTCAAAACAAGCAACACTAGTTTTACATGAGAATGCCTTTGATGAGGCGGCAAAAAGTGTTAGTTCCATTAAATCACGACCCCTGGGTACTTTAAAAATTATTGTGATGACAGGGGCGGCACACTAGCAGTAAAGAACTTAACCTTGACCAAAGAGAGGTCTGGCCTTTGCCCTTGGCTCCTGGGAGGTCATCCCTAAGCCTCTAGGAATATCCTTCCAGATAGAAGCGTCTTTACCTCGGGCCTTATGCCCCATCAGATAGTCTCAAAGTGTGACTTAGGGTGGGGCTTTGGGTCAACTTGACTCTGGTATCAGAGCGGCTGGAGAGTGAGGTCAGCTGCTCACCTGCATCTGGGGAGAGAGCCCCAGACCGTCACACATGTTGCTGGGAGGACTAGGCACTGGCCGCAAGCGCACGAGGAGAGGACAACCGGGAGGGTGTGCATCAGGAATTCCCCTAGACTTTGATCCGTGACATCTCCCTGGGCTGCTTTCAAATCTGCATCCTTTCCCTGCAGTGATCCATAACCATGAATGTAACAGCTCTCAGTGAGTTCTGAGTCCTTCCAGCGAGCTGCTACACCTAAAGGTGGTCTTGGGGAACCCCAAACCTGCAAGTCATGTCAGGGCGGGCGCAGTCTCAGGGGCCCGAGACTTTGTGGTTTGTGTCTGCAGCAAAGGCCCAGCTTCACACACAGATAAAGGACTTCTGCTCCAAACTGAAATACAATCGTTTTTTTCTCTAGAAAAATCACTTACTTGTGTGGATTATTTGAGTTGGATGCTTTTTTCATAGACTACCCTTGTATTTGAAAGGAAGAAAAGACAAACTATGATTATACAGACTTCGGTACTTGGCAGACATTAGAAAGGAAGCCAGTCGCCTTAAGAAAGCTGACAGTATTTGTTGCCAATGATAAAATTTAAATTTTGGAAAACTTATCCACCACCATGACCGTGACAGCTGGCTTCCCAACACTTATGGTCCTTTTTGAAGTCACCAGTGTTTCAATGTGGTTTTTAAAACAATCATTCAACACATCAGTCCTTGAAAGGTCCGTGTAATCCACTGAAGCGGTTATTTCCAAATGACCAGGGCATGATGTCAAATCATTTCTGGGTAAAAGATTCACTCCGAGTATAAGGCCAATCAATGGTTTTAATGTATGAAGAATTCCCTAATACACATTTTATATTCTATCTTGCAGTGAACTTTTAGGAAACTACTACTGGTCAAGTTTTGGTACTTTGGCATCAAAGAAGAAAATCCATAATTAGCTGGAAAAGACCTTCAAATACTCCTCCTTTTTCCAACTATGAACCTGTGAGAGCCTAGTCATCATGTACTTTAGCCGAACACACAGTAATAGACTGGATGCAGAAAAGATGAAAACCCGTTTAACTTTCATTAAGCCGGACATTAAAGAGATTTACAGACACATAAAATACCATCACTCCTCACCACATTTCAGGCTCCTTGCCGACAGCAGAGACAGACTCAGGACTTGAACTCATGAACCGTGAGATCATGACCTGGGTGGAAGTCAGACATGTTAACTGAGCAACCCAGGCACCTCAATCCTTGGTGATTTTTAAATGTGCAATGCACTCCTAAAATCAAAAAGTACGAGAACCACTGAGTTAGAAAACTGAGAGTCCTGCCTGAAGAGTAAGACAGAAATGGGGCAACTGGGTGGCTCGGTGGGTTAAGCATCCGACTTCGGCTCAGATCGTTATCTCGCAGTTCTTGAGTTGGAGCCCTGCATCAGGCTCTGTGCTCACAGCTCAGAGCCTGGAACCTGCTTGGGTTTCTGGGTCTCCCTCTGTCTCTCTGTCCCTGCCCTGCTCACGCTTTCTCTCAAGAATAAACATTAAAAAAAAAAATAGAATAAGAGAAACTTTCATGGACAATATGGAACACATAAAACAACTATGTATGCAAATGACTAACATGCTCATCAGAACGATTAACTTAGGAAGTTATGCAGAGAATATTTACTTATTGTCATTGCTTAAAATATTTCAGAGTTCTCCCCTCTGAGAATTCCTTGTAAGAAAGTATTCAAGAAAGCTTTATATTGGCATGACTCATGGGCAAAGATGGTATTACCCCTCTTACCAAATTGGCTACATTAGCCAGTTTGCATCTGATTTCCACTGTTATTAAAAAATCAAATTCATTTTTTCGGGGCGCCCGGGTGGCTCAGTCGGTTAAGTGGCTGACTCCAGCTCAGGTCATGATCTCACCGGTTTGTGAGTTCAAGCCCCGCCTCGGGCTCTTTGCTGCTCAATCGGGAGCCCGGAACCTGCTTCTGATTCTGTGTCTCCCTTTCTCTCTGCCTCTCTCTCTGCCTCTCTCTCTCTCTCTCTCCCTCTCTCTCAAAAATAAATAGACATTAAAAAATTTTTAAAAATCAAATTCATGTTCAAAGATGAAAACTTTCCACTATCGAAAATATTCAAAATAATGTTTTACAATGCCAAAGCAGAGTATAGGGAAATTACCGCTCAGAACTTGGAAATAGATTTACCCTTATAAATGCAATACAAATACAAATAATATTAACAATTTATAGAAGCCATTTTATGGGACGAGACATCATCCAAACCTAGGCAGAAAACACCCTACAAACTGACATAAATCCATTATAAAATCAAAATTAACGATGTCCAGAGTTAAGGAGTTAGAAAGAAGCAAGGTATTCAGAAGGGCAAAAAAGAGTGTAAGTGTCCAGGGTAAAGGGAACGCAAGTAAGTTCTGCTAGAAATGACACTTCAATCCTTTCAGGGAAGATTAACACACTGGGCAATCAGAGCGTGGTGATGGGAGCCATGAAGATAATTCAACTATTTCTCTTGATTCCCTCAGCAATCTTACTGAGGCCTAATTTCCTATTTGGGAAAGAATGCACGGTGGACACAACAATTTGAATCTATCTGGCAGTTTGACTAATATCGTTAATTGACAGATTTGACATTTGGTTTGTAAATCAATATACGCCAGGTTTTATTATCATAACAATAGTTAACCAATAATAGCTACTATCTGTGCTTACTGTGGTATCAGTAGTACATAATTTATATACATTATCTCCTTTGTTACATTACCTCTGTTTGTTATCATTCTATTTTTCAGATGAGAAAACTAGTATTTGCCAGAGCCAAGATTTAAGAGACTTTTTGGCTCCCAAAGCCTGGAATTGTGTGCTACAGCGCCTCAGAGTCAGTATCGCGGAGTCTAATAAAATCTGGGTACAGAGATGAAATATTTTTTGGACCTACTAGGCAGATCAAACCAGTCGGAGACGCCGTCTAGGCAATCACCTGGCCTCTTTAAGCCCTCTCCGTTCCGTACTCCCTCTCCGATGCTAACAAGGAGCCCTAAATGCTTTCAACAGCAGCATTATTACCATAACAAGTATCGAGCCTGCAAGGGGCACAGTACTCAATTGTACCCATTGGTAAACATCTCAGCCAAGTCAAGTGTGTCCCAGGAACTGAGTAAGGTGTTGGGGACACAAAGCCGTAGCAGACACAGTTCCTGTCTTCAAAGAACTTAATAGGAGAAATCAAAAGGTTACAAAAGTGCCATAAAGTACTGTAGGTGCTACAAGAGAAATGCAGGGCGCCGCGAAGGTGTTTGAACCAGACTAACCAGCCATCTTGGAGAAATCACCCTGAGGACCAGTCAGCGACCTGGAACCTCCCGGAGCACACCAGGACCACCCTCCCAACATTCTTTCCTTTTGTTTAACCACACCCTTAAGTACACCCTTGGGGCATAACTTCCTCCATCTGCCCTGGAGATCTGTAACACATACATTAAACATTCTCCTCTTGGGTGGTCCCTCAGCAGGACTCCCAACCTCCAGGGCTAGAAAAGCAAGTCTTAAGGGAGGTGACTTTGCCGGAGATTCACTCCTCTTGTGCCTGAGAAGGGCGTCGTCAGTAAGTCCCCTAAACAAGCCATTTCACAACAAGCTGGACTTGTCAGCCTTTTTCTTCAGTCTTCTGGCCAGTTTTCTTGTGTGGGAGGCAACTTTAATGTTGAATGAGAGATTTATTTATAGTTCTCTTAAATGCAAAATGTACATGCAAATTTATTTATAGTTCTCTTAAATGCAAAATGATACAGAAATTTTTTTTTTTTGTCTTTCTGCATGGAATGTCCTTGCCCTATTCTCCCAATTAAATTTCTAAAGCCTAGACTACTGAACAGGCGAAAATAATACACATTCTTCAAGGCCGCTTCCTTCTATGAAACATTACCAGCCTGTCTCCCTCATCTGGATATAAAAGCTCAAGAGGAAAAGAATCTATTTCGGCTCACCACGTAGTCCAAATGCTTTATGTTCGGCAGAAACTCAGTAGTTGCCTATTAAATTAAAGGTGAAAAAGGTATAGGTAGGCAGGCTTGGGAAGGACGGAGTGTAAATAACCTCAAACTATTTTTTTTTAATTGTTTAATGTTTATTTTTAAAGACACAGAGAGAACACGAGAGCACATGCTGGAAGGCCCAAGAGAGAGAGGGAGAGAGAATCCTAAGCCCAGTGAAGCCCTACGTGGGGCTTCTGTGATCATGACCTGAGCCAAAGAAATCTAGAGTCAGATGCTTAACTGACCGAGACACCCAAGGCGCCCCGTAAGCCTCATAAACTATTTCCATTTTTGTATTAGGACTGTCTATAAACTTCTGCCAAAGTCCATGAGTATTCTATGCCTATCATCGAAGCTCTTCATACCAACCAAAGTCCATTTCAGACACACTCATCGGAACCCAGAATCTTCAATACCTGATAAGCAGAATACCTACCATATAGATGTTTTTATTTTATTTCTCTAAAGTTTTTATTTATTTTAGACAGAGAGAGAGCGAGCAGGGAGGGGCAGAGAGGGAGGGACAGTGAGAGAATCCCAAGCAGGCTCTGCACTGTCAGCGCAGGGCCCAATGCGGGGCTCAAACTCAGGAGCCGTGAGATCATGATCTGAGCTGAAACTAAGAGCTGGATGCTTAACCAACTGAGTCACCCAGGTGCCCCCCATACAGATGTGTTTAAAGAGCAGAAAGAATTGGGGTGCCTGGGTGCCTCAGTTGGCTGAGTTGGGTTTGGCTCCTTCAGGTCATGACCTCACGTTCCCGACTTCGAGCCCAGCATCAGGCTCTGTGCTAACCGCTCAGAGCCTGGAACCTGCTTCGAATTCTGTCTCCCTCTCTGACCGTTCCTTGCTTGCACTCTTAGCTCTCTCTTTAAAATAAACAAACATTAAAAAAATAATAAAGAGCTGAAAGAACAACTTAAGATCAAAGTAACCAGAAATGAATGACATTAAGGTAAATCCATACATGTAAGAAGCATTTGGATAAAGGTTCATTTCCCCCGACCTTTTCTAACTAAATGTCTGCAGTAGGGTTTCAAACCAGTTAAGTACAAAAGGCTACCGAAAGGGCGCCTGGGTGGCTCAGTTAAGTGTCCTTGGCAGGTCATGATCTCACAGTTCCTGGATTCGAGCCCTGCGCTGACAGCTCGGAGCCCGGAGCCTGCTTCAGATTCTGTCTCCCTCTCTCTCTGCCCCTCCCCCACTCATGTTCCGTGTGTGTGTGTCTCTCTCTCTCTAAAAATGAATAAACATCAGAAAAATTAAAAAAAAAAAAAAGGCTACCTAAAGAAGTAATCATTCTAAACCAAATATTCCAAATATTTGGTTGCAAATATTCCCACCCCTGCTCCATAACAGGCCTAGACTTCTACCTAAAAACTGAATACAATCCTTAGTTTTACTACTTACACGTAGAGGAAATTCAGGCAAAAATGTTTATAACATAGCGAAAGTAAGAGAGGAGTTGGAATAAGGAAGCAACGGAAAGCAGGAACGTGAACATACATGTGACGGATGCAAAACTGGGCCATTACGCCATCCCACAAATTAGAGGACCAATTTCTTTTCCCAGGTGAAACGAGACTCCGTCGCCACTTTGAAAATTCAACGGTCCTTCAGGGCAGAGTACGAGGCCTGGCTCTTTAATCAAGCTTTTGTCTAAATTATACGGCAAAGACAACTGCTGAATAATTTACTATATTGTTAAGTCCCATCATTTCTAAGTATATTCCATGAAGAGCTGGTGCTGTTCTAACTGATATTTTTTAAAAGCAATTATCCTATAAGAAAAGGAAAAATAAAGTCAAGCAAGATTTTCTATATATACACCTGAGAATTTAAGCTTTTTTTTTCTTTTTAAATATATATATTTTTTAATGTTTCTTTTGGGGCGGAGCAGAGAGTGCAGGGACAGAGGATCCGAAAGGGGCTCTATGCTGACAGCTCAAACTCATGAACCACAAGATCATGACCTGAGCCAGTCAAACGCTTAACCGACTGAGCCACCCAAGCGCCCTCTTTTTTCTTCCTAAGTTTTTAATTCCAGTTAGTTAACACACAGCATGATACTAGTTTCAGGTGTACAATATAGTAATTCCACACTTCCATACATCACCCTGTGCTCACCAGGACAAGTGTACTCCCTGATCCCCCCATCACCTGTGTCACCCACCTCCCCCCCACCTCCTCTCTGGTAACCGGAAATTTGTTGTCTGCAGTTAAGAGTCTGTTTCTTGGTTTGTCTCTCGTTTTCCTTTGCTCATTTGTTTTGTTTCTTAAATTGCACATGCGAGTGAAATCACACAGTATTTCTTTCTCTTATTTAGCTTAGCGTTATACTCTCAAGCTCCATCCGTGTTGTTGCAAATGGCAAGATTTCATTCTTTACGGCTGAATAACATGCCATTGTGTGCACACACACATTCTTTATCCACTCATCAGTCAGCGCACACCTGGGCTGCTTCCGTCTTGGGTATCGTAAACAATGCTGCTGTAAACATAGGGGTGCATGTATCTCTTTGAATTAGCGTTCTTGTATTCTTTGGGAAAATACCCAGTAGTGCTACTGCTAGATCATAAGGTAGTTATATTTTTAAGTTTTTGAGGAACCTCCATACTGTTTCCCACAGTTCGCATTCCCCATCCACAGTGCACGAGGGTCCCCCTTTCTCTACACCCTCGCCAGCCCCCTTTATTTCCTGTGTTGTTGACTTTAGCCATTCTGACAGTTGTGTAAGCAGCATTAACCTCTCGCTGATTTGTAAGAACTAAAACTTAAATTTATGACATTCCACAAATTAGTAATTCCATTAAGTGCATTCTTCAGACCTCATCAGGAAGTTATGCCAAACTGCTTCAAATTGTCATTTAGATAAAAAAAATCAAATATATGCAAGGTCCCAGAAAGAAAACAGAATCAAAATTATGAGAGCTTAATGTTGGCAGAATACTATCCTCACCTTGCATGTGAGGAACTCTGCTGGAGAAACGCTTCTGGCATATTCTCCCACCTCCTCGTTCTCTTCCCCAAGGAAGGAGAGATTTCCTAATGGGTTAAGAGCAGGTACTAGAAAGGCATGGATCATCTCCTTCATCCCTCCCGACAGTTTGTCGATTGGTAGTACCCATTCTGCCGTGTTCCTATACTTCAGTCTAAAAGGAGAGAGCACTCAGAAATGAGATTTGCCAAAACAGTTGGCCTGATAACCTTCAGTGGTACACTGGGAGACAGAAGCCTGATCGGTGGGCTAAAGAGTGGATGGGAGATAAGGAAGTACAGACACAGAGCACAAACTCTTTGCTGTGCTGAGGGGGCTGAGGCGGGATGGGGCTGGCTGGGGCTGGCCGGGGCATGAACATCTAGGGAGGTTTTCTGCTTTGTTGTTAACGTTTTATGTTAGGATGCTGATGGAAATGATTGGTGGAGAAGAAGATTAAAAATCCAGAAGACAGAAAAACCACCACAAGAGTGGGAACCTCTGCAGCAGTGAGGTCCCTGAGGAGGAATGGGATGGAAGGAATCTGTAACCTAAGTGCAGAAGTTGCACTTTCTTAGAAGCAGAAATATTTTTTATTTTAAGGAGGGAATTCAGAGAAATAGTACATAGATTATCAAGACAGACTTCATGAATAAGCAGGGATTGCTACATTAATAACTGATAAATAGACTTCAGAATGAAGAAAATTATTAGAGATAGAGATAAATTGCAGGATGAATACAAGGCCTGATCGCCCAGGAAGACATATGATCCTAAATGTGTACATGTCTACCAGAATCTCAAAATACACGAAACAAAACTAATGCAGATGAAAAGAGAAACTGACAAACCCACAATTACAGTTGGGGCTTCAACAGTCCCCTCTCAGCAACTGATAAACTTAGAAAATCAGCACAGATAGAAGATCTGAACAATACAAGATCTAACTCATATAAATAGAACGTTCCACCCAACAATAGCAGAACATACATTTTTTTTTTCAAGGGCCCATGGAACATTCACCAAGACAGATCACAGCCTGGACCATAAAACAAACCTCAACCAATTTAAAAGAACTGAAATCACACAGAGTATGTTCGCTGACAATGATGGAAGGAAACTAGAAATCCGTAACAAAAAGACAACAGGAAAGAATAAGGGAGCTCCTGTGAAATTTTTTTTCTCAATGACACATGAAGAAGCAAGTCAGAAAGAGCAGAGAGGGAAGAGGAGAAAGATAGGAAATTTATCCACCGAAGCAACAATTGCTGAGTGCCTACTCTGGGCTAAATATTGTTTCAAACACTGGGACTAAAGGAGTACACTCAACAGACAACAAAGTCTGTTCTCATGACCCTTAAATCAATATAAAATGTCAGGTGTGTAAGTGTTAAGAAGAATAAACAGGGTAGGGGGCGCCTGGGTGGCTCAGTCGGTTGACCCTTGATTGAGTCGGTTGACCCTTGATTGAGTCGGTTGAGACTCTTGATTCCGGCTCAGGTCATGACCTCAAGGTTGCTCGCTCACATATGCGCACTCTTTCTCTCCAAAAAAAACAAAAAACAAAAAAGCCCCCAACCATTAAAAAAAAAAAAAAAAGAATAAACAGGGTAAAAGAATAAAGACTAACAGTAGGCAAGGTAAAAAATGAATTATTTTCTTTTACATTGTAGTCAAATGCTTTGTCCTTAAATCAAGGGTTCAGTGGGGCGCCTGGTTGGCTCATTCAGAAGAGCATGCAACTGTTGATCTCAGGTGCTTGAATATGAGCCCCACGTTAGGTGCAGAGATTACTTAAATAAATAAAACCGAACAAAAAATAAATCAAGGGTTCATTATAAGTTTTCCATTCACACCATCTGGCCCACTATTAATTCCATCTCTAGAATCTGTTAAAATATTTTTTGCAACTTTATTTTCTTGGAAGACCCTGTATGAAACGTCTTTTCCCTACTACTCACAAAATGTGGGAATGGTTGGCTATTTTTTAAAGTTGTAATTGTAGTGAATTAAAATTTTAAAGTATGGGACGCCCGGTGGCTCAGTCAGTCAGTTGGTGGCTCAGTCCGACTCTTGATTTTGGCTCAGGTCATGATTTCACAGTTTGAGATCGAGCCCCACGTTGGGCTCCGTGCTGACAACGTGGAGCCTGCTTGGGATTCTCCCTCTCCCTCTCTCTCTCTCTCTCTGTCCTTCCCCCGCTCGTGTGCGCGCTCTCTCAAAGTAAATCAATAAACATCTTAAGCAAAAAAATAAATGAATAAATAAATAAATAAAATTTTAAAGTAGTGCTTCAGTTTCTTGGGATGGCTTGTGACTTCAGAGATCTTCCTCAACGCAACGCCTGTGAGTAGAATCCATAAAGTACCGCAGACTAAAGTGCAAAGGGAGAAAACAGTGCTCAAATAAATTAAGCACTGGCCACAGAGTGCCCAAAAACGCTTAAAGGAAAAGAGACTCACTTAGCTGGTGTTGTGAACAAAAAGGAAAAAGAATCAAGTAGCACCTGCTGCCTAGCTCCCCACTCTCCCCTCTACCCCTTCCTACTCCACAAAGTAACAGGTGCCAGACAACCTGGCTCACGACCTCCATACAGACATGGCAGGCCTCCCATTTTTTGGATACTAGGCTTGTTCTCATGGCAAAAGTCATCTGAGTTCAACCCTGGTTTCAAATGATCATTTAAAATAAGTAAGGTTTGGGGGCACCTGGGTGGCTCGGTCAGTTAAGCGTCTGACTCTTGAT